CTGTAACAAGGACTATTTTGCTTTGGAAACTAAGCAGCTCCACCCCAGTCAGGAATGACTCTGTTTTTACTTTAGGCTAAGAGGTCAGAAGGATCACACCCTAAGTATTCTCCTCTCCAAGACTGAGTATGGCCACTCTCCATCTCAGTCCCTGGACGTTGTCCAGAGTTCCCTGAGTATCTCTGCTCTGGGGGCAGAATCACCAAGGCTCATCCTCGCCAGCTCCCCACAGACTCCAGCAGGATTTTTCTGCCAGGTGCAGGGCACAGGAATGGCTCTGTCTGTCTCTTAGTTAGAGGGAGGCCATGGAATGATGTTTATATAAGAGAGACTGGAATTCTGGGTCTCCTTTATAGTATTCGACAAAACTTTCTTTCTTTTTTTATTTTGCCATCTCACCAATGAGGAGAGCAATCCCTTGGTAGCTATATTGTTTTTGGCACTTAGGAAGGTTTTTGTGGTTAAGTCACATTAAGAAATTGTGCCTTTTTTTCCTGTTCAGATATAAGCCAAGGCAGTGAAAGAAACAGCAATAATTTTGAAAGCAGTCACTTGTACATCCTATGATAAAGGTGTTAAGTTTCATTGCCCACAGCTAACTTTCAGTCTAGTGGAAATGAAAAGGCACAGTTAGCGGGCGTGGGAGCATGCCATGAGAGAGGTCGATGCCGATTGAGAAGTCTGTCTGAATCCCCAGTACTGTGGGATTGAAGGGGAGGCAGACTGTGCTCAACAAGGAGGGAGAGTGAGTTCATCCATGGGAACCTGAGGAGGAGCAAATCCCAGGGCCATCTAATTCAGGGTGCAGCAGCAAATCCTTGGAAAGGAAAATGGTCTAGTTCAGCTGTCACAGGAGACAGGAGAAAGCAAAGTCATCTAATCCACAGTCCCCTGGCTGATTTGCTTCCTTATCATAGTATTTTGCACCAGCGTGTCCTCATCTCCCGCTGCTCCTGTGCTTCCTTCAGAATCACCTCTTCCCTCTTTGGTGCTCACATCAGTGGATGTGCACAAGTTGATCATTTCCTGTAGCAGCCCCTCTGCTGGTTTTACTTATGTCCATCCTTATTTTGTACATTAAGTACGGCTACTTCACCATTGCTTATTGCCTTGTAAGAGGTCTCGTTTTATATATTTCAATTTTACTTTTTATTAATCGACATTTGACTTCATCATTTGCTCATCTGGGGTAGCATTGTCATTTTTGGAAGACATTTTTGTTTATCTTTAGTGATTCAGATTAAATAATCTCTTTATATTTCAACGTCTGTGTTTTCTTCTTATTTTAAACCAAATATTACTTCCCTTCATTCCTCTCATTCTGTTCCTCTTTCTTTAGATGGTAGTTTTAAGGGATAAAAAGTTAAAAGTATAACTGGAGCTATGTGATAAGAGTTATTCAGAATGAGAGTGGGATATTAAGACTGGTAACTGGAAGCAATAGTCGGGGTTAGAACTAGTGTTGGGATGAGGGTTTAGGGAAGCTGCTCATAAAACCTGCAGGATGACACCTCTGGAATATTCTGGCAGCTCACTCTGTAGACACTTCCCAGCATTCCTTGGGCCATTGCAGAAGAAACAATGATGAAACTTCACTTATTGGCCACAAGATGGCACTGTGGTCCACTGGGATCTAAAGGGCTCTGGGGAGTCTGGGAGAGCAGCCTTAGGAGGGAAAGGGTTAAGAAAAATTAGGGTTTGGATCCAATATTATGAAGATGTTGTAGCAGTTTTCAGTTATTGCCAGGTTGCCTACAGCTATGCAAGAGGCGGGAAGTCCCTATAATCTTTAATGAGATCTGCAGTTGAAGAATGTTGGCTGGGCTCCCTTGGTGTAGAGGCAGGTGCAGAGGAGCAACTGCCTCAGAGGAACAGGGGAAAGCTAGAGATAGGCTGTGCCCTGAGCTCAGTGCATCTCTGCTGCATCTCATCTTCCCTGCAGGTCTCGCCAGGCAACAGCTTTAACCTGCCTGAGCGATCTGGGATTCTACAAGTTTATAAGTAGTACAACTTGGTTGAGATTCCATTGGAAACCAAGTACATGTTCTCTGGAGTACAAAAAATATTGATAACAAGTTCTAAAACACCTAAGTAAACAAACTACTGAAGGAAAATGTTAGTAGATGTACCAAACCATGCATTAGACCTGAAGCTAATTGACTAGTAGAATTATCGAAAAGAGACTATAACTTTAAATAAGACTCTACTAAGCATTTCTGGGCATAGAGCAGTGTTTGAGTCCTCTCAGGGTAGACTAAGGAAGGAATTCAGTTATTTTCTTGACCTTGGCTTGGATTAAAATCCATGAGCTCCTCATTTCATTTTCTTGTAAAATATTGCAGAATACTATTGAGCAAACATTTCATTTTTCTCCAGCCTGTTTAGCACTTACAGGTAAAGCAGACAACTAGAGGCAAGGTTTCTTTAGTTGGCATCTATTAACTGTAGGACTGGGAGGTCCATAGCTGGGCTCTACAGGGAGTGCAAATCCGATGTGTCTGTGCTGTGCCCAACTCCCCTCTGTGAAGCTGACAAAGGGGGAGGGCTGGGTTACCCAGGACCCCACTTACAAAGAGGGGAGCAAACTGTTTGCTTGGCAAAAAAAAAAAAAAAAATCAATTCATCAATTGACTAATTTGTTGAAATTCAAAATGAAAGGCTTAATTGTTAAGACTGATGAATGCCAAATTTCCCAAGTTAGGAAATGTATAGCAGCTCGTGGTTCTCGGAATGATTTCAACAGCATATGAAGATATTTTTAGAAAGTTTTTGTTTGTCTACAGCTTTCCTTGATATTGATCCTCAGTTGTTTCTCAGCCCACTTGTCAGTTGAGCTTAATGTGATGCCAAATTTCAATGTTGCCTATTTCAGTCACTGAGCACTTCTCACAATCTCCAATCTTACACAGATATGTATGCTTCTGTCTTTTCTCATTTTTGTGTGATTCATTTTTAAATTGGGCTGTGCAGAATACAAGCATACATTTGTAAATGATTCTCTTATGCAATTTAGCTGTTTACTTTTTAGTAATACTTTTTATTAAGGTATAATTAATAGAGAGTAAAACACAAATATTAATACAAGGACATCCTGGTACATTTTGACAAACGCATATGACAGTGTAACAGTAACTGAAATGATTATAAAAAAATTTCCATCACTCAGGAAAGTGTCCTCATGCTCCTTTCCAATCAATTTCTATCCCAGAGATACAAACTTTTGTTATTTTTATCACCATTGACTAGCTTTGTTTATTGCTGAGCTTCATATAAATGGAATCACATAATATTTTTATTGATTTATTTTCCCCCAAAATTAGAGTTTCTGAACTGCATTCATATTGTAGTATCAGTAGGTCATTCTCTCTTATGACTAATATTCCATGGCATAAATATACCACAGCTTGTTGATCCACGCTCCTGCTGACGGAGATCCATGTTACTCCTGTCTTCAACTATTAGGAATAAAGTTGTTGTGAACATTCTCATAGAATTCTGTCTTGTGGACATATGTGTTCTTTTTTTTCTTTGAGGTATAGCCTTAAGAGTAGAAATACTGACTCACAGTTCAGATGTGTGTGCTATGCTTGCGTGTCCCCAAGAAAGCTCATGTTGAAATTTGTCAATGTAATGGTATTGGGAGGTGGAACAGTTATGACTAGATCATGAGGGATCTGCCCTCAGAAAGAGATCAATGCCCTTATTGCCTTATTGCGGGAGTGAATTAGTTGTCCTGGGAATGGTCTTCTGATAAAAGGGATGAATTCCATCATTTTCTCTGTCTTGGGTGCTTGCTTATCCTTCCTTCTGCCTTGGATAACAGCAGGAGGAAAGAAATCGAAATAAAACATGGTGCTGAGAGTGAGGCTATTGCTATAACAAGTACCTGAAAATGTAGAAGCAGCTTTGGCTAATGGGAACTGGGTAATGGATAGAGGTTGGAATAATTCAGAGAAGCAGACTAGCAAAAGGCTAGATTGCTGATACCGAGCATTAAGGGCAATTCTGGTGAAGGCTCAGGGGGAAATGAGGGACGAGGTATTGGAAATTGACGTAAATGCCATCCTTGTTGTAAGTAGCAAAAACCTTCGCAAAATTATGTCCTGTTCTAGGACTTTATGGAATATAAAAATTATGAGCCTTTAGCTAGAATATCTGCTGAAGGAAATATCTAAGCAGCTAAGCATTCAGGCTACTGTGTGACTACTCTCAGGCACCAGGAAATTTAACCCAGCAAGAAGGGAGCCAAGGGAATAGATTTTGCAAAGCAGCACAGATGGTGACACTACCTAACCTCTGCTATCCTGTCCCCCATAAGCCAAACTCACTCTGGAGTTAGAGAAAAGGGGAGACAGTTAACATGATACACTGGGGTCAGCTTCTGAAGGCAGGGTGGATCTGGAGGGATTAATAAACTGTCCAGAGCCCTACATATAGGATGGCATTGAGGGTGCTGAGTCCCAAGCTGGCTACATCTGTGCTGTGAGCTGATAAGGTCCTAGAATAATTTCTGGGGAATCTGTAGTCTTGATAATTTACAGACAACCCAGGTCTGCTTTGGATCTGATCAGACGGACCTAATATTGGGGACTCTGCACCACTGGCCACTCAGGAAAGAGGCTGGGAATGTTGCCTGGGACAGGAAAATATAATAAGAAACATTGGTGTGAATCTAGCATCAGAAAGATGTTGCGAGGACAGCCAGGAAGAGCTGGAACCTGAGGTTTACTCACAGGCTCCTCACCCTCCCCTGATGGGTAGGTGTGTGTGCTCCAGCATGGAGCACCACAGCACTAGGTGGGAGGAGGGTGAGAGGGCGATGGGGCAGTGTAGGCAGAGGAGCAACTGTATCATCGCAGGAGCTTCTGCCTTCACCCATCCCTCCACCTCTGCAGGACAGGTAGAGAGTACAGGGTCCATGGAGCACTAGACCTAAGGAAGCTGCGTGGGGAGGACACAGGACAGTGACATCACAGGATGCCCCTCCCATCAGGAAAATCAAGGTGCAGAACTCACTCAGCTCTTCCCCAGGAGGACCAAGCCCTGCGTCAGGTGCAGTGCTGCCTGCCCCACTGTGCCATGGGCCCCGGGCTCCTCTGCTGGGCGCTGCTTTGTCTCCTGGGAGCAGGTGAGTCCTGTGCACAGGACAGCAGCCCCATTCTCAGCTTTCCCACCCCTGTGTCCTCCACTTTACCTTGGGGAGGGCCTCCAGACTGTCTCCTGAGCTCATCCTCCCTCTGCTTTTCCCACAGGCCCAGTGGACGCTGGAGTCACCCAAAGTCCCACACACCTGATCAAAACGAGAGGACAGCAAGTAACTCTGAGATGCTCTCCTATCTCTGGGCACACCAGTGTGTACTGGTACCAACAGGCCCTGGGTCAGGGCCTCCAGTTCATCCTTTGGTATGATGAGGAAGAACAGAGAGACAGAGGAACCTTCCCTCACAGATTCTCAGGTCGCCAGTTCCCTAACTATAGCTCTGAGCTGAATGTGAATGCCTCGGAGATGGGGGACTCAGCCCTGTATCTCTGTGCCAGCAGCTTGGCACAGCCTGGTAGAGTCACTGACATTCTGTACGTAAACTTCCTGCCTTAGCTTTGACTTGAGAGCTGCAGGCCCCACCCAGGTTTCACTCATTAAAGGGAAGCTTTTAGTTGTTTGGAAGGCATGTCTTGTGTCCTACTGAGCGCAGAGCTCTCCCAACCAACAGAGTCCGAGGTTCCTGTGCCCTGAGTGCGCCTGCTTCTCTGCTGCATCTTCTTGCAGCTTGTTATTTACTGGGTAACTTCAGTGGAGGAGTGACTGCTGAGCCCCAGATGTGTGCCAGATTTTTGTATATGCTACATAGCTTAAAGGTTTTCCACAATCTTGCACATCAAACATTCTTATTCTTTCTTTGCAGATGGGAGGCTCAGGGACATTGAGTCATTTTCGCCAGTGTCTCTGGGCTTATAAGCATCAGAAGTGGGAAACAAACTAGTCCATACATTTTCCACCTACCCCCCTGTTCCATCATCACCTTCTCTGTCCTGGTCAGTAAGTCAGAGCCCTCACACTGCCTTCTAGTGACCAACAGGTTGCAGTAGAGGCTCAGATGTCTTCTGGGGTCATTACTAAGCCTTCTTCGTTAGCAACTTTGAGGAATGTTGCATTTCACACTATTTTTTTAATCATTTATATGCATTCCTTCTGTACTTTCCCAGTCTGTAGTTTATATTTTCATTTTTATGGTGTTTTTTGATGCACAAAAGTTTAATTTAATGCAACAAAAACTAAAAACAATTTTTTTTGTGTGTAGACAAAAACTCCTTTCTCATATAAATGTCTAAACATATTTTTCTTAATTTGTTCTAGTGAAATTTAAGTTTGGCTTTTCACCATTAAGAATAAATGTACCTGAAATATATCTCATGTAAGAAATAACATAGAGACCTAGGAATGGGAGGGAAGGACATATGTTCAGTGAAGAAGCAACAGCTTGTCAAAAAGATCCCAAAATGGACACCATGAGCCGACAGTGGAGAGGCAGGTGGAGGACAAATGATTACAAACGTTGTCAGGCTGTTGTCTGCTGGAAGAAAGACAGCCAGGAGCAGAGTCCACATGGGTGAAGGTTTATGGCTGTACTGTAGGTTGAAGGTTGCAGCAGGTCAAGGGAGGAATAGCAGGCAGAGGGCAGAGTTACTGGCTGGCAGGGGCAGTGGCATCACCAGTGACTCTACTGACATCCAGGTATTATGTCCCCAACACACAAACTTTAAAAACTCCCCACAATCTGCCCCTTTTTCCCTGGCCCTACCATGGCTACCAGACTCCTCAGTGGTGTGGCCTTTTGTTTCCTGGGGGCAAGTGAGTCCCCTAAAGCCTTTTCCTTGGCTCACCACATCCTAGTCTAAGCCTTGACCTCAGGTTTACATTATTGGGGTACTTCCTTGGGCACGCAACTTCCTTCTATCATACACTTCACAGTTGCTGGAACAACCTGATCCCAAGATACCAGACAACAAAGGCAGGACACGAAGTGACATGGAGATGCCTGAGACTGCTGTCTATGAATACATGTGCAGGTGTTAATAGGAGCCGAAGCTGGTGCACAGCTGATTCGTGCCAGCACGCACTATAGAGAAATCCCTTAATGTCTGTGACTTTCTCTCAAAGCCAAATATGTGGCTTTGATGTTGGACAGCCTCTCCCAGACCTCTGTGCCCTCCTGCACCAGCCTTCACCCCACAGCCACCTTCCTCTACACACAGAAGATATAGGTGGACTTGTCTCTATGAGACCGTGATCTGGGCAGTGGAAGACATTGTCCCATAGGCGTCTCCCCAACACTTCCCAGGCTGGAGCCCTCAGAGCTCTCAGCAGCTCTGTGCATATGAAACACTGCCCTGTGCTGAGCTTCTCTCTCAGACCATTCTTAGCTGGATGAAGGAACGCACATCACCATGATGTAAGTAGGTGCAGCTTCTCTTCCAGGCCCCTCCTGCAGCTCTGCCCTCAGAAGTCCTCTTCCTCAGTTGCTCTCAAAAAGGAAAGTTCATTTGAAATTGTATATTTGCAGACAGCATTGACAACACAGGTCTATGTGCGTCCAATCCCACCTTCCATTGGTAACCAGTATTAATACTCTGGTGTGCTTCTTTTCATCTCTCTTTTCTGTGTTCATGCATACCTTTCTACCCAAGTACACCTACAGAAAATGGTTTCACCTGTACACTTTACCAGTCACATGCATACTCTTTTCTGTTAATATACCTTGGTCTCTATTATTCCAGATTGGTCAATATAGATCTAACTTGCTCCTATTTGCTGCTTCATATTGCACAATGAGGGTAGACAGGTACATTCATGCTCTATGGTCTGATTCCTAAATTCTGCCAGATCTTCTCTAAAGTGACTGAATGGCCTCTTTAGGCTTCCAGGTTCTCCTTGCCCCAACAACCAGTTGATGATTCCAGCTTTTCCATCACTCTTAGTCCTAGCAGGTTTGAGAGCTCTATCAGTTTCTCCTGCATGAGGATACAGGGAGGGATAAAAGGATAGACATTTATCCAAACCTACGAGAGACTACACAGTATCTCAGTTAATCCTCATAAAGCATGGAGAGGAATGTTAGTCTTGTTTTAGAGATGAGTCTAGATGAGGCTGGAGTCCAGGAAGGTTAATGAATGCCTTGCCCATGGTCTCAGAGTTAATAAATGGTGGAGCCACATGAAGGGCAAATGGCTTGCTTCCAAGTGGAATTCACAGAGGGGTCACTGGAATTTGAGGGAGGGGAAGTCTAGAACCATCTGGGGTTGTCTTCAGATCAGTCGCCAGGGGGCAGGAGAGTCCGCGTACCCTGCAGCACTGCAGGTACAAGCATCATGGTGTGGGCAGTGGGGAGGTAACAGAGTGGGTAAGCAGTTAGTGGCCTGGAACCAGAAGATCTGAGCTTTGAGAAAATTATTCCCATCACAAGATGTAGCAGAGACACTGATGTGGATACACTGGGCCAGGGAGCTCTGTGAGGAGCTGTTGTTAACATGAGGGAGGGGGAGAAGCAACTACGTGGTAACTTCCTATACGTGAAATGTAGAGGAATACAATGTTAAGTAGAATCCCATCTGATTTTCGTCAGTTTTGCTTTGTAAGTAGTTGGAAGGTGGGATTATTTATTTTTGAGGTTAAGGAAACATCTATAAGGCTCCTTTACCTTATGAAGGCTGGTGGGGAAGGGAAAAACGGCCCGGCCAATGGAGTCACCGTTTGTTTAATAAATACCTCAGAGTTCAAAGAGAGACTCTCATGGGGCAGAAATTGGTCAATGTTCCTACATTCTAAAATTAGGAGGGTCTTGTTTTCTTTGAACCAGCAGAGAAGGAAGCACATTGAGTGGGGAGTGACAGTTGGGAGCACGGCAGAGTGGCCACAGAATGTCGAAGACAAAGGACATGTAGTATCAGATTCTAAGCTGTGAAGTTATGATGCTACTCTCCTTCTCCTAATGGTTTTTTTTAGGTCTCAGCACAGATGCACACTGAGGGAATAATTTCTTTGAAAATTAACGACACAGAGCTCTGTTAAGTATTAACAAGTCCACTTTACAAAGCACACCTGGAAATGGAAACAAGATTATTTCTTGGTTTTTTGTTTTTTTTGTTTTTTTTTTTTTTGAGACAGAGTCTGGCTCTGTTGCCCAGGCTGGAGTGCAGTGGTCAGATCTCAGCTCACTGCAAGCTCCGCCTCCCGGGTTCACGCCATTCTCCTGCCTCAGCCTCCCAAGTAGCTGGGACTACAGGCGCCCACCACCACGCCCGGCTAATTTTTTTTGTATTTTAGTAGAGACGGGGTTTCACCGTGTTAGCCAGGATGGTCTCGATCTCCTGACCTCGTGATCTGCCCGTCTCGGCCTCCCAAAGTGCTGGGATTACAGGCTTGAGCCACCGCGCCCAGCCGAAACAAGATTATTTCTAAGGTGTTTTCTACTCTAAGAGTCTCTAACTTGTTCTCAAGGTGAGAGGTGAGGAAGGCGGGCTGTTGATCCACACGCGATGAGTACCGTGACGCTCTACCACAAAGTATATAGTTCTGAGTGTGAATCAGAGTCCTAAGAAGAATAATCCCCTTTATATTGTTTTGCCCTCTGCCATCCCAAACCACCCCACCCGTAATTAAGCAGCCATGGAAATGAGGGGAGCCAGAAGGAATCAAACCCTGCTGCTTGGTTCAGTAGACAGAGAGACCTGTGGGAAGGGTGTGGCTGGGTCGAGAAGAAGATGATGAGCTCAGAAAACAGACAAGGAGAAACATCAGGGGAAAGCTTGTGAAACCCTGGAGGGATCACAAGGTATGTTATTAGAGCTCCTTTTTATTTATTAGTAAATATTATTTATTACTAAATTAATGGCAGGAATCCTGCACAAAGGGATATTCCCTACGAAACATGACATCGCAAATAAAAACAGAGCATTCTTCCTCACCCTAAAGCCCGCCCTCACGCATCAGGCCACCTTTGTGCCCACAGATCATGGGCAGCACTGGGTGGTCACCATCATCCACACACAGAGGGCAGTCAGCAGCGTGAGGTGGTTCTGCCTGCTGCGGTCTCACCCCAGGCATGGAAAGCAAGAGCCCTGGGTGTGGCTGAAGGTGCTCAGCTGGGTTTCTCAGGAGTCCCATCTGTCAGTGAATGGACAAGAAACAGAGCAAAACGACGCCTCCAATGTTGATGAAACTGCCCCTGGGATTTGGAAACTTCACAACAGAGAAAACCAATATAGACAAAGGATTTTAAACAGGATTAAGGTCAATTAGGCAAATTGGAAAAGGATACTTGAAGGTGTATTTGGGACACAGGAATCAAAAACACCAGGAAGACGTGGGGAGCTTCCTTAAGACTCTAGACTACAGCACTATGTAGATAACTAACACCAGAATGTTAATTATATCATTGAAGAAATAAAATGAACATTGAATTTCAAACTGTTTACAAAAGGTCATGAAAATCTTGGAGACGTGTTTCAATTCACACAAATGTGTTCTTCTCATTCTCAGCTGTTTACTGGTGCATTGATTTTGGATTTGACCAACTGGGGAAGAGGCGTGGCCTCCCCTGACAGGAAGGCTCTGGGGCCCAGGCAGGGAGAATGACGTCTCAGAATGACTGCCTTGAGAGCCCTGTTCCCCTTTTATCAACACACAGACCCAGAAGACCCCTCCGTCCTGCAGCACCTGCCATGAGCATCGGCCTCCTGTGCTGTGCGGCCTTTTCTCTCCTGTGGGCAGGTGGGTCCTGGGCAGGGACCCTTGTGTGGATTTCAAGGCCCAGCCCCTTCCCATTGGGGCTGCAGCATCAGCTTTGTCCTTCTCTGCAGGTCCAGTGAATGCTGGTGTCACTCAGACCCCAAAATTCCAAGTCCTGAAGACAGGACAGAGCATGACACTGCAGTGTGCCCAGGATATGAGCCATAACTCCAGTTACTGGTATGGACAAGACCCAGGCATGGGGCTGAGGCTGATTCGTTACTCAGCTGCTGCTGGTGTCACTGACAAAGGAGAAGTCCCCAGTGGCTACAATGTCTCCAGATTAAACACAGAGGATTTCCGGCTTAGGCTGGAGTCAGCTGCTCCCTCCCAGACATCTGTGTACTTCTGTGCCAGCAGTTACTCCCCAACGCTGCAAGGCCGTCTCCTCTCTGCACATAAAAGTAGGGCGGCTCTGCCCTCCTCCCCCACCCAAAACTCAGGGATGCCCTGGGCGGAATTTTCTGCACCAGGAACCTTGGAACCCCAAGTGGCCCGGACAGCATGAGCTCGCTCTATGTCAGGTGTCTCTGCAGGCAGTCTCAGCCAGGCCTGGACTGGTCCTCAGATGTCTCCTTTGTTGCTCTCTCTGATCTTTCCTCAGAGCTATGATTTTGGGTTGGGACTGGGGCTTCCCCAGCTCCTACTTTTGTACTCATCATCCTCAGTCCGAGGCCCCCAGGATGAAACAGGATTTGTATTTCACATCCATCTAGACTCCAGTCTCTCCCTGGTGAGCGTGTTGCTTCCTCTCTCTAGGGTTTCTCCCAGCCCCCACCCTCACGTGGTCTCACCTGTAGCCCACCTTTCCCATCTGGGCAGTCATCCTCCATGGCCCTGCTGGATTTTTCCTCCCCTCACCTCCCCACCCCTCTCTACTGCAGCCATGAGGGGAGCCCCTCTTCTGTGCCTCCTTCCTTCCAATCACAGAGTCTTCAGCGGCCATTTCCTCTGCCCTGGGCTGGAGCCTTCCTTCCTCTAGTGGCCAGCTCCTACCTGTGCTTCAGATCTCAGCATGATCAGCCCTCCTGCGGGAAGCACTCCCTCCCCTCCCAGCTGAGATCAACTTTCCTCTCCTAAGCTCTCATAGAATCAGATGTCTGTTACTAACCTTTAGCACCGTTGGGCTTTCTCAGATACTTGTCTGATTATTTTTGTGCTCCACCCATTTTTTAAAATTTCTTTTGATTTCTTTTCTTTCTTTCTTTTCCTTTTTTCTTTTTCTTTTTTTTTTTGAGACAGAGTCTCGCTCTTTTGCCAGGCTAGAGTGCAGTGGTGTGCTCAGCTCACTGCAACCTCCGACTCTCTGGTTCAAGCAATTCTGCCTCAGCCTCCCGAGTAGCTGGGATTACAGGCACGCACCACCAGAATTAGCTAATTCTTGTTTGTATTTTTAGTAGAGACGGGGTTTCACCATGTTGGCCAGGATGGTGTTAATCTCTGGGTCTCATGATCTGCCCATCTCGGGCTCCCACAGTGCTGGGATATAGGCATGAGCTACCACGCCCGGCCTCTCCACCCAATTTTTAAGCCCATGAGAGCTAAAACGGTGCTTGCTGCATTTAGCAACATCGGTGCCTGGCATGTGGGGAGACCCATTTCACAGAGAATGGATGAGTGAATGACAGGGTGAGTGAGTGATGAGTGGGTGGACGAACCAATAGCAGGAACACGCTACATCTACTGTAACCTGGCAGAGATCTAGCATTTAGTACAAGAAAACTCACCCGTTTGATTGCTAGCCCAGGTTGGTCTTGGAAATTGATGGGGAATCACCATCATGGTGGCCACATCTGGGTCAAGGCTTCCTCCTGTGGTTGCAGCACAAGACCCCACAACAAATCGAGACGGATCAGAGATCCACTTCTAGAATCCCATCCTTAAAGGTTGTTCCTCAAAACCACTTCTTGTAAGAAAATCTCCATTAGGTTTGCATCAATAAAACAGGGCCACTACAAATTGGACAGTTTAATGTATTTATGATCAGAATTAGACTTCATATGTGGCAGGAGCTGAGGAAGAGAAGGTCTGAAGGAGAGAAGTCAGAAGGTGAGGGAGCCAGTCAGCAGCCAGGGCTCCTGGAGCTCTGGGCAGGACAGGCTGGAGTGTCAGGGACATGGGAGGATCAGAACATGCCAGGCCATGAAGTGGGACCTTGAGCCGGGAGCACAGGAAAAGTCCAGGGAAATCTGTTTTTGGGAAAACTGTTCCCTCTGTGTGGGGCCCACCCCTGCAGGTTTACTGCCAAACACTGGGGGCAGCCTGGCTGCTCTTGGTCAGCATTTGGGAAGATGAACTGGACACAGGGTGCAGAAGAATAGGACTTCCTAGGTCTGTTGGATGCCTCTGTATCCTCTGGTCACTGACTCTCACTCTATGACCACTATGACCTGCCAAGTATAATAGTGCCTGTTTTACATCTATCTAAAAATTTTTACCAAATGTATCTTTGACCATCTCTAACCCAGAATAAGAGAAATGGCATTCCTGTCTTGCCTTTGCAAAGTTGATTTAACACAATCCAGCACAGGAGGGATTCTCCCAGATTAAGGCATCAAATCACACAACTGTCTCAACCTTCCACAGTCCCCGGACTCCTCTCCGGGGGACACCTGTGCTGCCCAGGTGAATGTGGACACAATTTGTATGTAGATGTTCCAGACACTGGCTACTAACTTTTTTTTTTAATACTGTCTCCCTCCACCTAGAGGCAGGGTTCTGCCTCCTTCTTTTATCTCTTTCCTGAGCTTCCCTCCTGATGGAATTGCATGGACATCAGACCCCTGGTCAGAGTGCAGTGATCTGTGGAGACAGTGGGAGGGAATCTCATGTCTTGTTGCCTTCCTGGACCCAGTTCTTTTATAACCGAAGCAAGTGCTCTGGTCTCCCTTTGAGCTCTGCAGTATGAGAAATGTGCTTCATGAATTTGTAGCTGATCAGCTCAATGATTTGATGGCAAACCCGAAGTGAAATCCTCAGATCTGCAGAAATTGCCCTGCATTTCTGTGAAGATGGCGAGAATACTGTGTGGTAGAGATGCCTTCTCTCCATGTAGAGACCTGGCCCCCAAGCAGGACAGAGCAGAGAGGGCCAAAGAGCCCAAAACATGTCTCAGATGGTTGAAAGACAATTTCCCGGGACAATCCTGCTGACAACATTTGGTCCCTTGTATTACAGTCCTGACCACCCTTCCTCCCAGATCAGCTGAGTCCCTAGGACATCACACATCCCAGCATCTTCCAACAAGGAAAAATCTTCGCATGCCAGCCTCCTTCCAGCACCACATTGACTAAGTCTGGAAGCTTAGCCTTTCCAGAAAAAAGCTCTGTCTCCTCCCGGCCCAGTCTAGCCCAGTAGGCTTAATTCATGATTTATGTCACCTTTTAATTTACTCAGAGAAGAACATATGATTTCAGAGTAAAGAATATTCATTTTTCTTTGTATAAGTTGGACCTAAATGGTAAACTGAGTACTTTTCTTCCATCAGTGTCTTAAATTGGACAATGGTAAAAGAAATCTTTGATGCCAGAACTTTAGATCCTAGTGTTTTTCATGTGGAAGTTCCCAGTGTCCTGGGCGCAGAATAGATGAGCGTTAGTAAGTCACACTATGCGTGAGATGGTTTTCTATGGGTTTATAGACTAGTGTTCTCCTATTGAGCAAGCATAAGAGCATTCACTTCTTCAAGCTCATTTGTCAGTTTGTATGGGAATTTCCAATTCGAAATAAGTTATGCTTTTAAATTTGAAGTCAGGCCAGGTACAGTGGCTCGTGCCTATAATCCCAGCACTTTGGGAGGCTGAGGCAGGCTGATCACAAAGTCAGTAGTTCGAGACCAGCCTGGCCAATATGGTGAAACCCTGTCTCTACTAAAAATACAAAAAGATTAGCCAGGTGTGGTGGTGGGCACCTGTAGTCCCAGCTACTTGGGAGGCTGAGCCAGGAGAATCACTTGAACCTCAGAGGTGGAGGTGGCAGTGAGCCAAGATGATGCCACTGCACTGCAATCTGGGCAACACAGCAAGACTCTGACTAAAAAAAAAATAGTGTCAAGTCTACAAATATAATATAATTCTGATATCTATGTTATTTTTATAAGTTTTGGGTTTCAGAAAAAAAAGGAAAGAAGAAGGCATATCCATAGGTTTGGCCATTTTTATAATAAATATATATGTGTATATATGTGTGTGTGTGTATATGTATGCACACACAAATTCATACAAATGCACACACACAGAGATGCATATATATGTGTATATATATACACACTCATACATATATGTACATATAAATATATGTAATTTCCCCTTGGAAGAAAATGTCATGATGACTACCTGGCTTAATGGGATTTATTTATAAAAAGAGTTTTTCTAAAAAGAATTAGAAAATTTGAATTCTATTCGGAATCTTTCATTGGGACTGTCCAGAGAGCATTTTTGACTCTACCAACTTATGTTGTGGGTGTATTTGGCAGCCTGGAGTGCAGCAGACAGTTCTTGGCCCCACACATTTGTGAGTTAGACTGGAGATGCCTGTAACCATGACAGACTCTTTGTGTTGTTCACTCTCAGTCCAGGCCTCTCTGGAATGTCACAGACCACCATTAAACAAATATATTCCCAACGTGAAGAATATTAGGAGATGGCCATGAGGAAAAGTCAACACCAACAAACAATTTTTGAAGTGCAAACCCGAAGACTCGAAATTTTGGCATTATGAGATATGAAAGTTTGAAGAGCTACATTTAAATGAACACGAGGGGAAACTGAAACAAGGAAAAAGAGAATGTCTGAAACCATCAAGTAACTTTCATAAAAATTGTCAAATAATATGTCTAGAAATGCCTCATACAATCACTGAAAACAAAATGGAAAGTCAAACAGTTGATCAGCTCCTCCTAAAGAGATTTTTAGTGATGTCAAAGATGGATCTGCAGGAGTGATCTAGAATGCAGCACAGAAAATTAAAAGTGAAATACAAAAGACGTTAAGAACAGGGAAGAAAAAAATGGATATTTCCCATACCTTATAGTATGCATATTTTTCATAATTTCCCATTTTTTCTTGCATATGATTGCAGTTCCAAACAGATAAAATAGGTAGAAAGTTATGGGGTGATACTTATGAGATGTTAGCTGACAATTCTTTAGAGGTGTTTAAGGAACCAAATTCAGAGTTTCCAGAATCAAAAAGAATCTCAAGTAAGACAAATAGTCAAGTCACAGGGAAATTGTAGAACCTGAGGGACAAAGAGAAGATTTTGAAAGCAGTCAGAAAGAAAAGAGAAATACTTCCCATAGGAATAGATGGAAAACGAAAGTAAGATAGTGGTTAAAAATAACCATTAGCTCAATTGTCATTCTCCTTCTTTTAAGATGACATTGATTAAAAACAACTTTTATAAGTGGAATATGAAAAAAGACCTCTGTGATTTCCACCCAAGTATCTTTTCTGAATGACAGTTAACAAAGGTGGGAAATGATCCCAGAAGAAAGGCACGAGGGCAGTTTGTGAGGGAACCCATGTGATGGGGCAGCCCTGTTGGGCACGTGTGACTGGGGGAATGGAGGAGGCTAGGGCATGAAAGGGGATGGCAGAGGGGACCCTGACTTGGAGGAAGGACAATGAGTTCACGCCTTTGTGCCCTATGTTAGGGGCACTGTTGGTGCATCCTACAGGACATGCCCAGCAGACAGAAGAGCGGCTGTGGGATGAGAAGATGAACTCAGAGATGCAGCGTGAGGCCTCCAGGTCCAGACAGCTCTGGAGTCCAAAGCGATGAGCCATGCATTGATGTTAAAAAGGAGGTTATAAATATTTAAAGCGTCACCCAAGTGCGTTCTAATATAAATGCTGTGACCCTGAGGTCCTGGGGATTGAGAGAGGAAGTGATGTCACTGTGGGAACTGCCCTGTGGGGACAAGGACGTCCGTCATCCTCTGCTCCTGCTCACAGTGACACTGATCTGGTAACGCCCCCGTCCTGGCCTGACCCTGCCATGGGCACCAGGCTCCTCTGCTGGGTGGTCCTGGGTTTCCTAGGGACAGGTGAGTCCTCAGAACACCAAGTAGTTTCATTTTTTCTCTGTGTGTAGGCGTGTGTGTGTGTGTGTGTGAGTGTGTGTGTGTGTGTGTGTGTGATGACAACAAATGTTTTCCTTATTCTGTTGCCAAATTCTACTTCCACAGATCACACAGGTGCTGGAGTCTCCCAGTCCCCGAGGTACAAAGTCACGAAGAGGGGACAGGATGTAGCTCTCAGGTGTGATCCAATTTCGGGTCATGTAGCCCTTTATTGGTACCGACGGACTCTGGGACAGGGGCCAGAGTTTCTGACTTACTTCCAGAATGATGCTCAACCAGACAAATCAGGGCTGCCCAGTGATCGCTTCTCTGCAGAGAGGCCTGAGGGATCCGTCTCCACTCTGAAGATCCAGCGAACAGAACAGGGGGACGCAGCCGTGTATCTCTGTGCCAGCAGCTTAGCCACAGCGTGGCACGGTCGCCTCCTTCCTGTTCACAAACCTCGTCCTTCTCTCTCCTTGCAGCTACTAGAGACCCTTAGCAGAGGCCTCTCTTTCATCCTCATTTTTCATGGGAAAGGAGTAGATTTGGACATCGGCTGTCCATTAGGTAGAAAGAGACCACAGATTCATTCCTGAAACACAGTGACTGCAAATGTAAGTGGTGAAAACAATTACGGCCCACTGCACTCTAGGAGTCCTCGGAACCAGCTCACTTCTTCAAGCAAGGGGTGGGTGTCTTAGCCTTGGCCTTCAGGGCAGACATACATCTTCTATAGGTCTTGGAGGTTGCGGTGCTGCCCACATACTTGAGGTTGTCAAAAGCAGGAAACATGCTTTTCTCATGTGTATGTTGAGGCATCTGGAAGGTCTGAGGCTACATCCCAGGAACATCTTTCTTCTGAAGCCTCTATCCCTGTCACCTTGGAAGTTTTCTGCAACAAAATATCAAACCTCTCTTCCTGTTTAAAATACAGGTCTTTGCAAATTTTTGGTCCTTACTTGATAAATACAATCATGATAACAGTAAGACTTCATTTCTTCTACCTACTTTAAGCCATGCGTATCCTTTATTTTGTTTCAATTTGCCACTGCTGCTGTCCTGATAAACAGAAGCATGCATTCACCACCGCTGTCTGTTCACCTTGATTCCCTCAGGAAATCTAATTTCTAGACTCTCAGTGTTTTCATTGTTGTCCAACTCATCTGATTTGAAATAATTTGCCTGAGGCCCTTAACTCAAGAAGTGTTTCATTTATAATGTTGATTCTATTCCTTTTTATTTCTCATATTATATATTGTTATATAGTACTTGTTATAAATAGAAGTACAGTGATTATATTGCAATAGAATCTTCCACCTGTCTGTGGGTGATGCTGCAGTTTGTAACTGTGAAAGCGAATGCACTGGTCAGAGCTCATGGGATTACGGATCATGGTTTTCTGAGAGTCCTCAGTGACAGACCACTTCTCCAAGTCTGGAACTTAGTGTCCCAGACGCAGCCATGATAGAGGTGCCCTGAGTCTTTCATAGCTAGGAGGGGCATCATAGCCCTTCCAAATTCACTGATCTAGCCCTTCCAAATTCACTGATCAGAAATTGTCGTGGTACAGACACCAAATTTCTTTCCCCAGACAATCATGGTCTTTAGGGGGGAGATGCTCTGGACCCATTTTTTTTATTGTGCCATCCTGAAAACACTCCTTGCTCAGATGCCCTGTGTCTCCTGTGACTGAGTAAGGCCAGGGCACAGATGGGAATTCCCTGTCTTCCTAAACCTTCTCTCTAACTGCTGCCACCTTCCTCCACATGACTCCTGAGACACCTGGTCCTAACAGTGGACAAACTGAGGCTGAACAGTTTAGTCCACAGTAGTAAACGGTGCTGCAAGAACATGAAACAAAGCGAGCAGGGCTTCCAATTTATACTGAGAATGAACATGCAAGAGGAGCAAAGGGTAGATGTTACTAATGATCAGATAGGAAGGAATAGGGTTTCTGCTCGGATGAAATCATTCTGTTGTCTTAAGTTAAGCAGGAGAAGCATTTCATTGAAATTACCTGAAGTCAAAGGCTAGCAGCTTTCCAACTAACCAGCGTTAACTCTTTGCTCTGTGATCTCAACAGCTTCAGAGGAGTCAGAAATCCTTTCTTTGCACAACTGTCCCTTTGTTTATTCCAAGACCCCAGATCACACACTCTGATCTTATCATGAAAATAAGGAGGTGTGCTATAGTTGATGTTGCCTCATTTTTAGTGTGTTGAGTAGGAAGCATTGAAGAACTTTGAAAGATTTGCTCTTGAGTCTAGGGATGTGCTGGACCCAGCTTGTATGACTCAGAAGAACCAAATAGGCATACTCTTCCCAGCTCCCCAGCAGTGAAGCCATGTTGGCTGCTTGAAATCTGCCATGGTGGGGATGCTGGTACAACAGAAATTAGCAAATGCTACCAGCCATGCCCCCACCTTCACAGACACCCAGTTTAGCAGCACATCACTGGAGTATTTTCTGATGTCCCTGTCATGCCATGTCTTGTGGGGCCAAAAGGGCTCAGAATTCACCTCCCCTCTACTCTTGCTCCTAGAAGCCATTATCTAAGCGGGCCTCAATTGTTCTTATTTCTATTCAACCTCCAATATCTCTTGTTATGTAGCTCTGTGTCTCTTACAAGCATGCCAGCTCAGAACATAACAAGTACTTTGAATATCACTAAAGGTATCGCTGAACCAGTTCATTATTTACAAGTTCTCTTTCTTAGCATGGACTATTCAGATACTGGAGTCATTGGAAACAGAGATGGCCAAGCAGCAACTCTAGGTTGTGAACCACTTACAGCTCCACTATTCTTCTGTGGCAACAACAGACCCTGGAACAAGGACTATTTTGCTCTGGAAACTAAGCAGCTTCACCCCAGTCAGGAATGACTCTGCTTTTATTTCAGGCTGAGAAGTCAGAAGGATCACACCCTAAGTATTCTCCTCTCCAAGACCGAGTATGGCCACTCTCCATCTCAGTCCCTGGAAGTTGTCCAGAGTTCCCTGAGGATCTCTGCTCTAGGGGCAGAGTCACCAAGGCTCCTCCTTGCCAGCTCCCCACAGACTCCAGCAGGGCTTTCCTGCCAGGTGCAGGGCAGGGGAATGGCCCTGCCTGTATGTTAGGCAGAGAAAGGTCATATAATGATTTTTGTATAAGAGGGAATGGGATTCTGGCTCTCCTTTAAAATGTTTGACAAAATTTTCTTTGTTTTTTGTTTGTTTGTTTTATTTTGCCATCTCACCAGTTAGGAGAGGAATCCCTTGTAGTTGTATTGCTTTTGGGACTTGGGAAGGTTTTTGTGGTTAAGTCACATTAAGAAATTGGTTTTTTTTTTACTGTTCAGATATAACCCAAGGCAGTGAAAACCACAATAATTTGTGTAGCAGTCACTTGTGCATCCTATGATAAAGGTGTTAAGTTTCATTGACCACATCTAATTTTCTGTCTAGTGGAAATGAAAAGGCACAGTTAGGGGGCATATGAGCATGCGATGAGAGGTCAATGCCAATTGACAGATCTGTGCCAATCCCCAGTACTGTGGGATTGAAGGGGAGGGAGAAATGACCTCTCCTTCAGACCATGCTCAACAGGAAGGGAGAGGGAGTTCATCCATGGAAACCTGAGGAGGAGCAAATCCCAGGGGCTTCTAACTCAGGGTGCAGGAGCAAATTGTTGGAAAGGAAAATGGTCCGGTTCAGATGTCACAAGAGACAGGAGAAAGCAAAGTCCTCTAATCCACAGTCCCCTGGCTAATTTGCTTCCTTATGAATCTATTTTGCACCAGCGTGTCCTCATCTCCTGCTGCCCCTCTGCCTCTCCCAGAATCATCTCTTCCCTCTTTGCTGCTCACATCAGTGGATGTGCATTGCACAAGTTGATCATTTTCTGTAGCAGCCACTTTGCTGGTCTTACTTATGTCCATCCTTATTTTGTGCATTAGGTTCTGCTTCCTCCACCATTGCTTATTGCCTTGTAAGAGGTCTCATTTTATATATTTCAATTTTACTTTTTATTAATAGACATGTGACTTCATCTTTTGCTGATCTATACTTTTGGGGTAACATTGTCAATTTTCGAGGGCATTTTTGATTATTTTTAGTAATTCAGATTAAAAAATCTCTCTATAGTTCAACATCTGTGTTTTCTTCCTATTTTAAACCAAATATTATTTTCTTTCATTGTTCTCATTCTGTTCCTCTTTCTTTAGATGGTTTTCTTTAGATAGTTTTAAGGGAGAAAAAGTTAGGCTATAACTGGAGCTATGTGATGAGTTATTCAGAATGAGGGTGGGATATTAAGATTGGTAACTCAATGCAATAATCAGGGTTAGAACTAGTGTTGGGATGAGGGTTTAGGGGAGCTGCTCATGAAATCTGTGGGATGGCGATTCTGGAATATTCTGTCAGTTCTCTCTGCAGACACTTCCCAGCATTCCTTGGGCCATTGCAGAAGAAACAATGATGAAACTTCACTTATTGACCACAAGATGGCACTGTGGGCCACTGGGAACTAAAAGACTCTGGGGCTTCTGGGAGAGCAGCCTAGGAGGGAAAGGGTTAAGAAAAATTAGGGCCTGGATCCAATATTATGTAGATGTTGCAGTAGTTTTCAGTTATTGCTAGACTACCTACAGCTGTGCAAGAGGTGGGAAGTCCCTCTAATCTTTAATGAGATCTACAGTTGATGAATTTTGGCTGGGCAGTCTTGGTGTAAGGGGCAGGTGCAGAGGAACAACTGCCTTAGAGTAACAGGGGAAATATAGGGGTGGGCTGTGCCTTGAACCCAGTGCATCTCTGCTGCACCTTATCTTCCCTGAAGGTCTCGCCAGGCAATAAGTTTAACCTGCTTGAGTGATCTGGGATTCTACAAGTTTATAAGTCATACTGAAAACATCACCTAGGCTTAGATTCCATTGGTCACCAAGCACATGTTCTCTGGAGGACAAAAAATATTGAGAACAAGTTCTAAAACACCTAACAAACTACAGTAGGAAAATGTTAGTAGATGCACCAAACTGTGCCATTAGACCTGAAGATAATTGACTAGTAGAATCATCAAAAAGAGACTATAAATAAGTCTCTAGTAAGTATTTGTGGGCATAGAGCAGTGTTTGAGTCCTCTCAGGGTAGACTAAGGAAGGAATTCAGTTATTATCATGACTTTGGCTAGGTTTAAAATCCAGGAGCTCCTCAATTGATTTTCTTGTAAAATATTACAGAATAACATTGAACAAACTTTTATTTTTCTCCAGCCTGTATCTCTCTTTAGCACTTATAGGTAAAGTGGACACCTAGAGGCAAGGTTTCTTTAGTTGGGATCCGATAACGGCAGGACTGGTGGGTCCATAGATGGGCTTCACAGGGAGTCAAACCCCACGTACAGGGAACCCCGTGTGTCTGTGCTGTGCCCAACCCTGTCTGTGAGGCTGCCAAATGGGGAGTGCTGGGTCACCCAGGACCCCACTCACAAAGTGGGGAGCGGGCTGCTTGCTGTGAAAAAAGTCAATTCACCAATTGCCCAATTTGTTGGAAGCCAAAATGAAAGGCTCAATGGTGAGCCTGATGAATGCCCAATTCCAGAAGCTGTGAAATTTATAGCAGCTCATGAATCTCAGAATGATTTTAACAGCATATGAAGATATCTTTAGAAAGCTTTTGTTTATCTACAGCTTTCCTTGATATTGATCCTCAGTTGTTTTTCAGCCCACTCGTCAGTTGTGCTTTTTTTATGTCAAATTTCAATGTTCCCTATTTCAGTCACCAAGCACTTCTCACATTCTCCATATCTTACACAGATATGTTTGTTCCTGTTTTTTCTTATTTTTGTGTGATTCATTTTTAAACTTGCTGTACAGAATACAAGCATGTATTTGTAAATGACTCCCATCTTTTATGCAATTTAGCAGTTTAATTTTTAGTAATACATTTTATTGAGGTGTAATTAATACAGAGCAAAACACAAATATTAATAGAAGGACATCCTGGTACATTTTGACAAATGCATATGCCAGTGCAACAGTAACTGAAATGATTTTAAAAAAAAATTCCATCACTCAGGAAAGTGTCCTCATGCTCTTTTCCAATCAATTTCTATCCCAGAGATAAAAACTTTTTTTATTTTTATCATCATTGACTAGCTTTGTTTATTCTTGAACTTCATATAAATGGAATCATGTAACATTTTTATTGAGTTATTTTCCTACAAAATTAGTATGTCTGAAGTGTATTCATATTGTTGTTTCAGTAGGTCACTCTTTCTTATGATTAATATGCCATTGCATAAATGTACCACAGGTTGTTGATCCACGCTCCTGTTGATGGAGATCCATGTTACCCCTGTCTTCAACTATTAGGAATAAAGTTGTTGTGAACATTCTTGTGGAATTTTTTCTTGTGGACATACACATTTTTTTTTTTTTTGGTATAGACTTAAGAGTAGAAATACTGACTCACGGTGTAGATGTGTGTGCTATGCTTGCATGTCCCTACAAATCTCATGTTGAACTTTGTCAATGTAATGGTATAGGGAGTTGGGACTGTTATGACTAGGTCATGAGGGATCTGCCTTCAGAAAGAGATTAACGCCCTTATTGTGGGAGCGAATTAGTTATCTTGGGAATGAACTTCTGATTAAAAGGATGGAGGGCGTTCCAAGATGACCAAACAGGAACAGCTCTGTTCTGCAGCTCTCATGATGATTGACGCAGAATCGGGTGCTTTCTGCATTTCCAAGTGAAGTACCTAGTTCATCTCACTGGGGCTGGTTCGACAGTGGATGCAGCCCACGGAGGGTGATCTGAAGCAGGGCTGGGTGTCGCCTCACCTGGGAAGCACATGGGGTTAGGAGATTCCCCTTTCCTAGCCAAGGGAAGCCGTGAAAGACTACCTGGAAAAACGGGACACTCCTGCCCAAACACTGTGCTTTTCCCAAGGTCTTAGCAACTAACAGACATGGTGACTCTCTTCCGTGCCTGGTTCAGCAGGTCCCATACCCATGGAGCCTTGCTCTCTGCTAGCGACAGTCTGAGATCCATCTGTGAGGCTGTAGCCTGGCTTGGGAAAGGGTGTCCGCCGTTGCTGAGGCTTTAGTAGGTAAACAAAGCAGCCAGCAAGCACGAACTGGGCAGAACCCACTGCAGCTCAACAAGGCCTACAGACTTTAGACTCCACCTCTATGGGCAGGGCATAGCTGAGCAAAAGGCATCAGACAACTTTTGCAGACTTAAATGTCCCTGTCTGACAGCTCTGAAGAAGCAGTGGTTCTCCCAGCACGGCATTTGAGCTCTGAGAATGGACAGACTGCCTCCTCAAGTGGGTCCCTGACCCCTGTGTAGCCTCACTGGGAGACACCTCCCAGTAGGAGCCAACAGACACCTCATACAAGCAGCCGCCCCTCTGAGACGAAGCTTCCAGAGGAAGAATCAGGCAGCAATTTTTGCTGTTCTGCAATATTTGCTGTTCTGCAGCCTCCACTGGTGATACCCAGTCAAACAGTGTCTGGAGTGGAACTCCAGCAATCTCCAACAGACCTGCAGCTGAGGGACATGACTGTTAGAAGGAAAACTAACAAACAGAAAGAAATAGCATCAACATCAACAAAAAAGTCATCTACACCAAAATTCTATCTGTAGGTCACCAACATCAAAGACCAAAGGTAGATAACACCAAAAAGATGGGGAGAAACCAGAGAAGAAAAGCTGAAAATTCTAAAAGTCAGAGCACCTCTTCTACTCCAAAGGATCACAGGTCCTTGCCAGCAACAGAACAAAGTTGGATGGAGAATGACTTTCAGAAGCTGACAGAAGTGGGCTTCAGAAGGTTGATAATAACAAACTTTCTGAGCTAAAGGAAGATGTTCGAACCCATCGCAAGGAAGCTAAAAACCTTGA